CCGCCCCCCCCCCCCGTCGGCCCTGTTTAGCTGGTCTCTCCTTGCGGGGGGGGCCCGAAAAAATTCTGGGCCTGCCTTCCCCCCCCGCCCCCCCCGCGTCGACCCTGCTCCTCCCTGGGGCAGTGCTCTCTTCTGCCCCGTCCGAAGATATTGACACTGGAACAGTGGCAGATGAATGGGGCCTTTGAGTAGATGTGACCCAGGAGCTTGAGGTGGTATTTCTGGTAACGGGGTCCCTACCAGAGAGACTGATGAGATGGCTGGCCTGGCTGTGGCCTTCACTTGGTGTCCAAGGAGGCTTCCATTGATCTCCCGAGGAGAAATAGGGTTCATGCAGGCTTCCCCCATTCTTGGAGAATGAAAAACATATGGAATATTGCTTGGGATATGTCCCTCTCCTAGGCAGAGTAGGCACTGAGAGTGCCCATTGTTAATAGGCATCAAAGCATGGAGCATATATCTTGAATCCTGGAGACCTAGCTTTTGCGGTCTCTGTACAGGGGTGGGGAATGGTGTTTAGCCTAAAGGAAACCTACCTGGGAGAGGGGTTTTTTTATTAAGCCAGGGGCAATTAAATATAAGACTCTAACAACTAACTGATTAATAAAAATATTAAAGAACACTACCTCACCCCTCATGGGTTCTCAGAGCCCTGGCTCCAGCCCAAGCCTGAACATCTACACTGCAGTTTTGTAGCCCTAAGCCTGAGTCAGCTGACACAGGCCAGCCAGTGATGTTTTATTGCAGTGTAAATATACCCTGTATGTCCTTTTGAGGGTGTGAGGACCTCTGGGGCTACAAAGGACACTGCTGGCCAAAAGAATCTGGTCTCTCACATATGGGGCATATGCATACCAAGAATGGAATCCATGTGGGCAATCACTTGAACTTTCTCTTTTACTACGTACCTCTGAATCCCTTTTGGAGTTTTGAGAATTACACCTTAATTTGGTCATCATCCATCTGGCCAAGAAGAACTAAAGAACAGAACTTCTTTTATAGCTCATCAACCCTGATAATTAATGTTAGGGGTTTCCACCGAACTTCAAGAGATTCCTCCTACTGAAGATGAGTTGGCTGCAGGATGGATAAAAATCAATACTTTTAAAAATGGATTTTTAAAATTTAAATTACATTTAAAAAAAACTATTCAAAATTAAATTTGAGATTGACAACCTATGTTAAGACCTGAACTTATTATAATCTATTTAAAACCATTTAAATTAAATTAAATATTCAAGCAGCATGTATTTGCTGATAAAGTTTAAGGAGTCAAACTGCTGAAATGTTGGAAGTCACTCTGGAATCAGTGTTTGCTGAAGCGCTAAACTACCTTTTGACAGCAGTAGTTTCTTCTTCAGGTGTAGAGAGAACACTTCATTTCAGTTTATTCATGTATTTCATTTCAGTGACTAATCCATTCAAAACTGAAATGCTGATTGGCAGCTGAAAAAGCAGAAGAGCTTGTTTTTTCTCTTCCAATCTATGAATAAAATCGGGATGTGATCTGCTAGTTTTAAAATCTGGAAGTACATGATGACCAGAAACAATTGGAACTATAGCTTATACTTCCTTTATTTAATAAATAAGTTAGTTTTAAATGTAAAATATATCTTGATAAACTTTTTTCTTGCCTATCCAGTGAATTTAAGATAGGTTTTATTTAACGAAAAACACAAAACCCCACCATTTTAAAGTTATCTTTAATTCCAATTTCCCATCTTTATGCAGCTGGAAAAACATCACAAGCAACATATGAATCATTTAGTAAATAAGATGCCATAGGCCACTTTTAACATAATAAAAATATAAAAATAAGAATCTGAATAAACGTCTTAAGCTATATAATTAAATAGATATAGCATTTCCTCCTTGTTAGCAAGAAGTACCACCAAACTTAGAGTAAAGGCTATATTTAATTAAAAATCAATATATTTACCACCCAATTAGATTCAACTTTTTCATTAGGACTAAAAAGTGCAAATGCAAAATGAGATTAAAATTCTTTGTTTAAATAAAGATTTCCAGCTTGCTGATTTAAATCATGATCAAAATCAGTGAGTTAAATCAATTCATCCTGTTTGACTGGATGCCAGGATCTGGCCCACAGTTCCTGTGCATTAGCTACTGGAGCTAGTGTTTTGGTATAGTAACAAAGTAAAATAAACTCTTTAGCTGGCTGTGCAGTTCCCACGTATTCAGTTCCCTATGCCAATTCAGAAAATATCCAAACTCTGACCCATACATTAGGTAACACCCTCGCACATCTTGGCTGTTTGGCCAGTAAATCATGCTGCCTATTTTCCCATTGGTTATTCATGCAAAAGAAAGAAGACAGAAGAAAGTGCTTTAACTTGTCTGTGTGTGTTTCAAAGGTCGCAGAAGTCATGGATTCTGGGGCTTGGGCAGCCCCGCAGCCAGCTGCACTGGCTGCTGCTGGAGTGGTGTTCCCCCTGCCCCCCGCCCCGCGCCTGCTTGCCTCCCCCCCCCCCCCCCCCCCCCCCCCCCCAGATTTAGTCATGGGTATTTTTAGTAAAAGCCTTGGACAGGCCACTGATCGTGAATTTTTGTTTATTGCCTGTGACCTGTTCATGACTTTTACTAAAAATACCCATGACTAAATTGTAGCCTTAGTCATGAGGACTACACAAGATGATTGATCTAAACAAAGTCTAAGCATATAGAAATATTTACATAAATGGCTTTTTAAAAAATGGAAATAAGAGATTAAAATAACTTAAATGTTTTGAAAACAAACAAAACTGGAAATAGGTACAAATGGCTATGACTGAGCACAAGTTAAAACAACAAAAAGTAAAGACTAACTATTAATGGGCAAAATAACTAGGTGAAGGAAAATATATATCTTAAAAATAATTATTGCATGCTCTTCCTTCCATGTCACCTTACCCTTTTTGGTTTAAGACTATAAATTCTTGTCATCCATATGTTAGGAAAGAATCTAGTGACTTTTGGATCCTATATTAAAAATACTGCGGCTCTATAAAAAGCAGGCTTTCTAATTTTGAACACTGATTCATTAATCAGAGCTATGCCAAAAGTTTGATATGTACCTTAAACCCAAAATCTGCCTGGGTTTGAGTTGATACAAATGACCAAATGAATTAACTATTTTATTCAAATGTTGTTTGCTACCTGCCAATGTCATTTTAAACTCTTTAGCTCTGTCTGGATATCCATGAACTTGATTGAGGTAGCTGTTTGTGTTGTCTTAAGTTCTGTCTGCATTAGTTGGAGTAGTTCATGTGATATCTTTTAATATGGCTACCCAGCTCTACTTCATGTTCCAAGGAACAACAATTGGATATGTAAAAGTTGCTCAAATTTCAGATGCTGCAAACTGATTAAATATGACAGGACATGAAGGGTTGTTGAGAACCACTCCACTGAAGAGCTGATATTAATCTTAATTATAATTTCAATTCATCATTAGAGGTCTGAATGTTTTTTGGTGAGGGCTTTGGCATTTTAAAATAATTCTAAAACTTCTAAGAATCATTCTCACATTAGACATTTTATTCATGATATTTTACAAATCTAGGTTTGGTGTCTTCTCCCTGCATCTAAGTTCATATTTTCACTTCTTGACTTTGCTTTTTTTTTTTTTTTTTTTTAAATCTGTATCAAAACCACTCTTCCACCTAAAGGAATCTATTTTAGTAATCTTTCTCCTTTGACTGTGACAAAATTGCAATGTCTATTTTTGTTTAAGGCTTGAATCCCACTTGTACATTCACTGGACACTGCTATCTTCATGTAAGATAATACCAGGGAGTGTGTTTTTCAAGTACAGTATCACCTGCTTGTGAAGTGGTGTTGAATGAAACAAGGCTCACAGCTCTGGAAAATTTAAGGCACGTTGTTCAATAGGCAGCAAAATATGGCCATAGGCTAGCAACTGTTGGCAGAAGTAGTAAGCTTACTATGATTCACATGAGAACTGGCTGTAATTATGTTCTTCATTGTTCTCACTAGAAATCCTCAGCAGTGTTGGTATTCTGAAGGATATTAGAAGTTGTGACTGGGAGGTGGCACTTGAGCAAAGAATGCATTTGTTACTTATTTCTGGGGGGGAAATAACACTGTAGTCTGAAACTTCATGCTTATTTTTGTCTTGAGGGTATATATTTGTTAGCCATGTAAAGGTTGCTAAAATTTCATTTGACATTTTCTAGATCATATTGGTATGTGGGAAGCAGACTTTTCATATTCTTGCTCTCCTCAATTCAAATTTCAAATATACTAATTTTTGAAACTTCAGACTCATTGATTCAATCGTCAGTAGGACATCTTAATTAGACATATGGATATCCTTTTTAGAAATAGTTAAGTGTTTGGAAAATTTGTACTGCACATGTGTAATACTATACTTTTTTCCACTAAATATTTAACTCTACTGAGATATGACACTCTTACACATGTGTAAAAGAGCATTCATAATAACACTGAACCTACAGCTAAACCCTGTATTTTACATATGCTAATCTGGTTATTTTAGTGAATGTCTCTTGCTCAGACAGGGAAACATTAAATTTCTGTTTCTAAAGGTAGATAATACTGAAATCAACGCTCTTTTTATGGAAAAACTAGTTTGATGATAATAAAAAGCAGTTCCAGTAGGTTTGAGTTCAATGCCAGATTGCTATTTGCATTTTGATTTTAATGTCAGTGTATTACAGGTTATATCTAACTTAACTGCAGTTTGCAATTACTTTGCCAGATTATTTCCACTGGTAAGAAAGTGAGTGCCTGGTAATTTCTACTGTTTTATTTAGTAGCTTTGAAGACTTTTTTTAAATATACCCTTTACTGTGCATACGTGAAAGGGTGGTCTATTGTAACCTTGTATGTGGTTGTTCTATTGGTTGACACAATATTAAAGAAATGGTGAATCTACAAGGAGGAAAATCTCAGAACAGTCTCATTTTGAAATTAACTACAAGGCTAAACTTTTTCTTTTAAAATATTTCATTTTGCAGGTGCCTCTGGGAGAGTTCATCAGTCTCATCTGAATTCAGGAAGTTCTGAAAGTAAAACATACCAAAGCTTTCAGCAGATGAGGAATGTAATGGAAAAGGACAGGAAGAGTGAGAGAACTAGAGGCAGTGGCAAAGACTTAGCGTTTACCCTCATGCCCTTGTATGCTATTGGTGTGGGGGTGTTTGCAGCATACAAATTCCTGAAGGTAAATATTAAATATCTTAACCTTAGAAGTGAGAGATGGTAAAGACCTAACAGGTCATTTGTTCCTCCCCTGTGTCCATGCAGATTGTTCTTTAAAAGACACCTATTTTGGTTTTTTGCCCCCATGTGGCTTCAAAGATGAGCTGCAAAGTAAAAACTGTGCTGTTTACTGCTGTGTGTGTGTGTGTGGAGACTTTCTAACTCTCCTCCTTTTTTTTCCTTTTGTCTCTTACATTTCAAATCTAAGATCCTAACTTCCCTCTCTGGGTCTTGGACAAGACTTTGGCGATACACCCTTGTACAATAGTACTATTCATAACCTAAGCAGCGGCTCAAACTCTCTCTCTTCCCACGCAGAAATGTGTCCCCCTGCAGATTCTCTTTGCTTCCCCGCAGAAAAATGGTTTCTGTGGGGAAGCAAAGAAAAGCTGAACCAGTGCTTGCTCACTCCTCCCTGGCAGTGTGGGCACATCTGCCAAGGCACCTGCAGCAGCTGGGAGAGAGGTAAGTCTCACTGTGGGAGGGAAAGGGGTGTGTGTCTGTGGATGCCTTAGCTACACAGGGACATTCGTCCCGGCTGGGCAGGGGAGGAGGACAATGATGGAGATGGAGTTCCCCCTCCCCCACATGGAGCAACTAGGGTTGGGTCCCCCCAGTTGCAAGAAGTTCTGCATGGCAGTGGGGGGTCTGGGTGCAGGGGGTGAGGCTTGATGGGTAGAGAGTTCTGCATGTGGGAGAGTGAGGCTCAGTGGGGGGTTTGGGTGTATGGGGTGAGTCCAGAGGTATGGGGGTTGGTCAGATAGGGGGAGCAGCTCCCTGTACAGTGAGCTGGCCCCACCGTTCCTCCTCCACAAGGGGAGGGGTCCTGTATGGGGAGCTATTTTCCCCCCCCCCCCCCCCATCTACCCAACCCCTGTGCATCTGGTCCAGCCCATGCACCCAGCCCCCCTGCATCGGGAGCCCCCCACTGAGCCCCTCCCGAACTTCTGTCCTGCCAAGCCTCACTCCCTGCATCAGGAGCCCCTCCCCCCACCCTCAGACTTCCCCCACCTCCTCAAACCTCACACACTGCATCGGTAGCCCACCACACCTGGACCCCCTTCCCCAGCATCCTGTGGCACGTGTGCCAAAGGTGGCACGTGAGCTGATTTTCAGTGGCACTCTGCAGTGCACTGTGCAGTCTTGTAACTTCCTTCTGTAGCTTTGGCTGTAACACCTGGTCTAATTTCAGTTGCTGATGACTTATGACATGCAGGAAACCAGGCTAAATAAGCTGGTGGTCCCGTCTGGCCCTGGACTCTCTGGCTTATCTGGCCCCCATCACTGCAGTAGCTGAGCAATTCACTATTTTTAAGACACTTACCCTCCCGGCAGCCATGAAAACTCAGCAAGGAAAAACAAGGGCAAGGATCACAAGATCTGGATTTTAATTTAATTGTAAATGAAGCTTCTTAAACATTTTAAAAACCTTATTTACTTTACACACAACAATAGTTTAGTTATATAATATAGACTTCTAGAGAGAGACCTTCTAAAAATGTTAAAATGTATTACTGGCATGCAAAACCTTAAATTACAGTGAATAAATGAAGACTTGGCACACCACTTCTGAAAGGTTGCCGACCCCTGGTCTAGGAGGTTACGTTTCTGAAGGTTTTTGTGGTTAAATGTAAATTGAAGGTGTTAATGTGTCTGCTAAAACAAATTCCCCAATTGAATAGCCTTATAGCAATTTTCATGCATTGTTCATACAGTGATTTGAGAAATTCTATAAACTGTCTTGACTAAAATGTGGCACCTAGTTTAAGGTGGCACTGTAAATCAGTGGGTTTTTTTCTCTGTGCTTACAATGACATATTTGAGGTAGAAGTCAAAATATTGTGCATTGATGAACAATGGGCGGGCAGGAGGGATAGCTCAGTGGTTTGAGCATTGGCTTGCTAAACCCAGGGTTGTGAGTTCAATCCTTGAACTTAGGGATCTGGGGCAAAATCAGTACTTGGTCCTGCTAGTGAAGACAGGGGGCTGGACTCAATGACCTTTGAAGGTCCCTTCCAGTTCTAGGAGATAGGATAACATATTTAAGGTCTTGAATGTAGTTTTATATACACATCTTTGTTATCCTTGGCTTGTTTTCTGGCAGCCTTGCAATAAATTGTCTGATTCTGAAGTGGGTACTTCTGGTGAGATTATATGAAACAAATAAAATTGTTTTGTTTTATATAATGCATCTGCAGAAAGCAACAGGACACCTGCTATACTAGCAAAACTAGAGTGATTTGGACAAACATTTTATGGACATTATTTCACAAATGTTAAAATGTCACTTTTTTGGCAAAAAGCTTTGGATAGTTTCAGTGAGAGCTTTGCTGCGTTTGACTTAGTTTGAGGAGTGGGGGGATCAAGGATGAATGAAAATATCACAAAGTAAATAGTAGCTGAAACTTTTAATACATTTAGATGCTTAAATAAGCATCTTCTATCTTCTAAAACGCATATTAAGCTATTATATTGGCTTAAGTGTAACTTCACTTTTTTTTTTTAAAGATGAAATCTCAAGAAGGAAGTTCTTCCAAGAAAGAGAAAAATACAGCAGAAGATAAGGCAAAAGAAACAGGCAAGGCATCAGTTCAGAACATGCATAATTGCAAAATGCTTAGTTTTCCTTCTAAAATAAAACCATATACATTCATTGATAGTTGCAGAACAAAATCCAGTCCCTTAATTTATTAAAATGCTTTGAAGAACATTAGCAAGACTATTAATTTAAAATTAGGTGCTTGGGTATGTGATAGGCATAGAGCAATGCTCAGTAGTGGCATACTTAGAATCCTAGAAATGTGGGGCTGGAAGGGACTCGGAGCAGCTGTCTAGCCCACCCACTCTGCTGAGGCAGCACCAAGTATACCTAGATCATAACTGACAGGTGTTTGTCCAGCCTGTTCCTAAAAGCCTCCAATGTTAGGGATTCCAGTCTTCCTTGGAAGCCTAGTCCAGAGCTTAATATCCTTTTAGTGAGATTGTTTTTCTTAATATCCAACCTAAATCTCCATTGCTGCAGATTAAACAATTTACTTCTTGTCCTGCCTTGAGTGGACATAGAGAACAATTCATCACTGTCCTCTTTATAACAGCCCCAGCCCTTAACATATTTGAAGACTGAAGTCCCCCCTCAGCTTTCTTTCCTCAAGACTAAATATGTCCTGTTTTAACTTTCCGTATAGCTCCGGTTTTCTAAACTTCTTATCCTTTTTGTTGTTTTCCCCAGGACTCTCTAGCTTGTCCACATATTTCTTAGTGTGGTGCCCAAAACTGGACACAATACTTTAGCTGAGGCCTACCATTGCTAACTAGAGTGGGACAATTACCTCCTGTGTTACATACAACACTTCTTAATACATCCCAGAATGATATTAGACTTTCTTGAAACTGATTCACATTGTTGGCTCATATTCAATTTATGATCCACTATAACGCCCTTATCCTTTTCTGCAATACTACTGCCTAGCAAGTTATTTCCCAATTTGTGTTCACACATTTGATTTTTCCTTCCAAAGTGCAGTATTTTGCTCTTGTCTTTATTGAATTTCATCTTGTTGATTCCAGACCAATTCTTCAATTTTGTTTTTAATTCTAATCCTGTCCTTCAAAATGTTTGACATCAAGCTGGGAGGAGTTTCATCCTCAGACTTTACAAGCGTATTCTCCACTTCATTCCAAGTCATTTATGGAAATATTGAATAGTAATAGACCCAGGACTGACCCCTGAGGGACCCCATTAGATACGCCCTCCCAGTTTGACAGTGAACTGTTGATAACTATTATTTGACAATGGTCTTTCAACCAGCTGTGCATCCACCCTATAGTAATTTCTTCTAGACTAATTTCCCTAGTTTTGCTTATTAGACTGTCATGTGGAACTGTCAAAAGCTTTACTAACATCAAGATCTATCACACATACTTCTTCTCCCCTCTCCCTCCCCCCCCCCCACCAGTGGGCCAGTAACCCTATCAAAGAAGGGTCGTGTCAGGATTTATTTTTGATGAATCCATGTGGGCTATTACATGAAACCCTATTATCCTGTAGGCACTTACAAATTGATTGTTTAATAACTTGTTCCAGTATTTTTTTGGAGTATCAAAGTTAGGCTGACTGGTCTCTAATTTCCTGAGTCCTCTTTGTTCCTCTTTTTAAAGATATGTACTATGTTTGCTGTTTTCCAGGCTTCTGGGACCTTACCCATCCTCCATGAGTTTTTGAAGATAGTTCCCAATGGTTCTGAGATTGCTATGTCTAGTTCCTTAGAGTAAACTTTGTCAGGCCCTGCCATCATGAATGCATCTAATTTATCTAAATATTCTCTAACTTGTTCCTTCCCTCTTATTGTTAATATTGTGTTAAGCATTTGGTCACAGTTAACCTTTTTATGGAAGACTTAAGCAAAACAAGCATTAAACACCTCAGCCTTCTTGTTGTCACTGTTATTAGATCTCCTTCTCCCGCTAAGCAGTGGTCCAATGCTTTCTCTTGCTCCTAATGTATTTCTAGAACCTATTCATATTGCCTTCTGTTTCCTGCTAGGTGTAACACATTTTGTGTCTTAGGCGTTCTGATTTTTGTCTCTACATGCTTGTGCTATTCTTGTGTTCATCCTTAATAATTTGTCCATGTTTCCACATTTTTAGAATTCCTTTTTTTCCCCATTTTTCAGGTCATTAAGGAGCTATTTGTGAGCCTTTGGTTTCAAAATGCCAAGGGCATGACTTTTGTTTTTGGTTGGCTCGTTCTGTTTAGCAATGAGGACACATCATACATATTTAGAATAACTTGCTGTAACAGGACATTCTTGGTTGATAACTGCAAAGTAATGCACACTGGAAAACCTAATCCCAATTGTACATACAAAACAATGGGATCTAAATTAGCTATTACCACTTAAGAGATCTTGGAGTCATTGTGGCTAGTTCTGTGAAAACATCCACTCAATGCAAAGTGGCAGTCAAAAAAGCTAACAGAATGTTAGGAATAATTAGGAAAAGGATAGACGATAATAAGACATTAAATCTATGATATGGCCATACCTTGAATACTGCGCACAGATGTGGTCACCCCATCTCAAAGATAGATTAGAATTGGAAAAAGTACAGAAAAGGGCAACAAAAATGATTAGGAGTATGGAACAACTTCCATATGAGGAGAGATTAATCAGACTGACTCTTCAGATTGGAAAAGAGATGATTAAGGGGGAATATAATAGAGGTCTATAAAATCATGACTGGTGTGGAGAAAGTAAATAATGAAGTGGTATTTACTCCTTCACATAACACTAGAACCAGAAGTCATCCAATGAAATTAATAGGCAGTAGGTTCAAAACAAACAAAAGGAAGTACTTCTTCACACAGTGCACAGCCAACCTGGGCAACTCGTTGCCAAGGGATGTTGTGAAGGCCAAAAGTATAACTGAGTTCAAAAATTAGGTAAATAAGTTCATGGAGGATAGGTACATCAGTGGGTATTAACTAAGATGGTCAGGGATGCAATCCTGTGCTCTGGGTGTCCCCTGGCCTCTGTCTATGAGAAACTGGGAGTGGACGACGGGATTTGCCCTGTTCTGTTCATTCCCTCTGAAGCACCTGGCATTGGCCACTGTTGGAAGACTGGATACTGGTCTAGATGGACCATTGGTCTGACCTTGGATGGCCATTCTTATGCTTGGTTGAATGCTCTCCAATAAAGTAATTTTGAGGGTGGGAGTTTGGCGGTTTAGGTAGATTACAACCTGCTTTTTTTGGGTCACGCTCTCATTGATCTTCTGCTCTAATGAACTAATGTGTCATTTTTAGAGTAGGTCAGACTGGGCATGTCAAATTTTAGTGTAGTTCATAATCATAACAGCTTTATAGAAGAGATGTAGTAAAGAGTAATGGAGTAATCCATTACCACTGCATACTAATAAAGGCTTGTTCCCCACAACATACTTTCTAGTGTCTTATTGAGCCTAGTCTAAACACCAAGTCATGTGGTTTCTGTAGGTCCTTTGGGGAACCTAAGTAAGCTTAATAGTTGCTATCAGGATGTCTTGCTTTTATAGTCATGATTTTCCCTTTATTACTCCTAGTTACATTCCTTTTTATTTACTACCCTAACCAACTCCTGTGCCTTTGCTGGTGTTTACATCCTTCAAATCCCTGTAACCTATTAGTGTGTCCTCCCCATCATGCTTAAGAAAATATTTGTGTGTATAGTTTTTCTTTTTCATTAGTCAATTTCCCCCCTCCCCCCATTTGTCTGATAACTGGAGTTTACTTTTTCTGGACTCCAGTTCCTCCTTTTTTGGGGGTAAGGTAGTGCCAAGAGCTGAGCAACTTTTACACACAGTCACTCCAAAGTTTTACAGAGAAGGGGTTACTTTATTTCTTTTTGATAATGTCTACCTAACCAAAAACATAATTCGGCTTTTATTTCTTTGCTGCCATTTTTGCAGTGCAAACACATGTCTAATACACTGTCTTCTCTTTTAGAACATCAGCTTTTGGAACTGGAGCAGCATCTAGCACAGACAGAGAAAATTTTAAATTCTTTATTGACTCAGTTAGACCCACTGTCGAACTGGTGAGTAATTTCAGGATAAGGAATACAGGTTATGCCTTAAATAAAGTTATACTAATTGCCCCCAACTTTTTAGGGAGTTACAAACATCTCAAAAGATCACCTTATTTATGAGGTGAAAGGTACTGAGAAACCTTGTTTGTAATGTAGCATTTGTATAATGCTGTACATACAGTAGCCAACGCTGCAGATTTAAACAGGCATTACTACAGACAGCTCCCTTGTTGACATACAGATGTAAGCAGCATAGTAATGGGATGATAATACTGCAAAGTGGTATTTTCATGTCTTTCCACATTCAAAACACCCATGTAAAACATGTTCACCAATTTTGCTTCAGTTCTTTAGAAACAATACTATTATCTTAAGTACTAAGTAAAATTCCTGGTTTCTCAAATGATTTTTAATAAAGATTGTTTTCAAAATTATGGGAAGCCCAGTTGTAGAAAAACTGATCTTAATTGAAACTTGATACAGATTCTGAGGAAGGAGAAAGAAGTATAGTTTTTGGTGAAATCTCTTCTAAATACAAAGTAAATCTAAATAGCATTTGAAATTCTTTGCTGGGGATTGGATGGCTCATGACTGTTAATATAATATGGAGTTTCTTCCCCTTCCAGATCATGTGTAGTGACCAAAAGTAACTACCATTTGATAGCTACCATGTTTGGCCTTTATGAACTTATCTTTCTTGGTTTAGGTGGCCATGAATGTATATCATAGGGAATTATCATAGTTTCTGATCCATTGGTAGTCTCAGTAGAAAACTAGGGAATAACTAACAAGAGCTACTTATACTTCTAGAAAAGTACCATCCCTGAAGTAGGGTTGAGGCACACTAATTGGGAGTGTTGTACATCAGCAATCAAGAGTACTCAGTTCACACACAGATAGGGACTGTGTGTTGATTTGACACCTTTCATGAGAACTATGTTATTAAATTAAAACAAATGTATTACCTCGGTGCTGTTCTTGAACTTAATAACTTTCAATACATTATTAAATTTAATAGGTTGAAGCTCCTTATTAAATCAGAAAATTAAATGACAGACTTGCAACTGGTTAATACTCTAACAGCAATCTCTTCAAAACAAAACATCTTGATAAGACACTTTTATCCAAGCTGTAATGTTCCCTTTCTGAGGTCTTATTTAGACAAGTTGTCTAGAATAGCTTTCATTGTTAATTCCATCTTTCAATGGGCACTTCTTCAACTGGAACACCCATCATAAAAATTCAGTAATGAAATCAGCCAGTAGCTATATTTCAGTTTTGCTTTTTTTCCCTCAATCTTCAGAGGAAATGTAGTGATGGTTGCCAACAGGTTTTAAAAACTGTTTTTAGTCACTCATCCAACCATGATAGTAGTAATTCACCTGGAAAAAATAGTTCGATCTATTCTGGAGTCCGAATAATATTTTTGGTGCAGTTTTGACAAGTATTCATTTTCAGTTGTAGCTCAGGTGAACCTTCAGCTTCTTGTCTCTTCATTTCAGTGTTAATGCTTTGGCTTGTGAACAGAAAGATGAAATAATGACACAGCTCCAGTCCATTAGACAGCTGATGAAGGAAAGTGGATTGGATAAATCAGAAATGAAACTAAAAGGTACTTCTAGTTTTCAGTCAATGTTGTAGATCCTTATTACAGTAAATCAGTGTTTAGCTTACTTAAGTTGTAAAGAATTGAATGTTCAGTTCATACATCTTGGATGCAATATGGTTCTTACTTCCAGACTGGTGGATATTATCAGATGGTATTTTAAAATCTTATTTTTTGCCACTAGTTGTCTATAAAAGTAGCAGCTCACTTACCTGACGGGTACCTAGTTACAAATTGAGATGTTGGATCTTTAGAGGTGGGAACACAGCTCAATCCTACCAGAATACACTGCTGCATTTAGAGCCAGAAGTCCACTGCTGCTTTATTAGAGAGATTGGAATTGACGGAATGCATCATGAGCTCTCCGCCTCAATAGGCTGCTAATGCATTAGTCAGACTTTTTGGAGGAATTAAAATTGAAACTTCTAAGAATGACTTCTGAAACTGAGAACCCTGTCACTAATCTTAAATCTTCATTTTCTTTTTTTGTAAACTAAGATGTTAATCACACATGTAATGAGAAACTTGAAGATCTCATTCAGTCATTTGGCGCAAACACTCAGGAAAAAGCAGATGACAATGAAGATCATAGTATTGAAGATCTGCTTGAAGATACTGATGGTTGTTACAGAAAGGAAGAGCATGAACTGTGTGACTGTGAATTCACACTTAGTCAGCTGATTGAGCCAAAGGTGATAGAAGTTCAAGAAATAATAAATAGAGAGATACTGGAACCAGAAGAGACTGAATTAAGGCGGCGTAATAGATATGAATTAAATATGCATATATAAAATGTTCAAAATTAAAGAATTGTTGCACATAACATTGTATGCACTTTTAAAATATTCTGTCACTGCTATATGCTTTAAAAGTAGAGGTGAAATCCTGCCCCACTGAAGTCAATGGGAGTTCTGCAATTGACTTCAGTGGGTGGCAGGCTTTCACCCAGAATGTTTACACATATAGTTCTATTTATTTTTCCTATAGAAAATATTTCTGTACTATCTGTATATAATATACTGAAATTACACATGGTGCTCCACAAAAGCATCAAGATTTCTTAATACAATATTTGTTTTCATACCTAATTAAAACTAAGAGGAATGGATATAACTCATAGTGATTATTTTAAATATAGAAATCTTAGAGTAATTTAAATGTCTTTTTCTGGAGTTGCACATGCAAACTGCAAAAGTATACTGCTGGGGGGATTCTGGTGCCTGCAGAAAATAGCTCCCTTGTAGAATTCCTGTGCTTCCCTGTAGGGAAGCAAAGGGAAGCCACACGGGGGGGTGACCATGGGTGCAGTTTTTTTGGGGGGGGATTGCCCCCTCCAAACACAGGTGAGGTATGGGGGGAGGGAGGCACAGAGTTATGTGCCACTGCCCCCCCATATTTCCACAAGCGCACAGCTACCCAGCTGAAGGAGGCTGCCTTCTGCTCTGCTGCCTCTGCAGCTGAACACCGCTTCCTGGGTCCTAGTGCCAGTCATACTCCCCTTCTGTGTGCTGGGAGCTTTCCTGTTTCCTGTACAACAGTGAGTGCCTGCAGTGGGGCTGGGTAAGCGAGGGTGGGGGGGAGAGGCAGTGGGGAAGGAAGGGTGGAAAGGTGGAATAGGGGAGGGGGATAGAGAAGAAAAGGGGATAGGGGAATCGTGGGGGGACGAAGGAATCCGGCATGCAGTGTACCCTCGGCAGCAGCTGGGGCTCCCCCATTAAGCAGGCCCATCGAACCCTCACCCTGACAAGCCCTACTGCTGTACACCTGGACCCCACTGATCCCCCAACCTGCTGCACCTGGATCCCCACCACATCAAGCCCCACTCCCCCACACCCAGACCTCCCTGCTGAGCTCCAACCACCTTCACCTGGATCCCCTGCTGAGTCCCATTGCCCCTTCACCTAGAACCACCCCCAACAAGCCCTGTGCATCTAGATCTCCCACTGAGCCTCCCGCACCCAGATTGCCCCACACAGAAACCTCTCCCCCCATACCTGGATCCCCCCACACCAAGCCCCTCCACACTTGGATCTTGCTGGGCTGAGCCTGCCCACCCATACCTGGTGCACTTGGCGCAGAGGGGCAGGGCCCCAGGGTTTTTGTGGGGCGGGCTCAGCCTTTGCACTATGTCAGGGTCAGGTGCAGCCTCACAGCTGAGTCCCTATACGGGGGGGCTTCAGTGTGATCTCCCACCTCAATGCAGTCAGTGGCCTGTGCTCCCCACTGCCATGCTGGAACCACATTTATTTATTGACAAATAAAATTTGCAGAATTTTAAAATACTGTGCACAGAATTTTTTGGTGCAGAATTCCCTCAGGAGTAAAAATAGCTATTCTGTGCATACTTATTAGACACTGAGAGGAACTCAAACCAGTTCTGACTGTATTCCTGTACTTTAACAAATCCCGCAGGCATACTGTCGTACTCTCTTGAAGGAAAATGGAAATGACTATTGTAGAGATGTCCTTTTAAATACCATTTTAATAACTATTTTATTTGTAGAATTTTATATTCTATCTTAAAAAAAAATTATAAGGTCCATTCGCATTATTGTGGAAATTGTGGATTCCACAATATTAGGCTTCCACCGCAGTTTTGTTTTTAAATTAGCTTACTTTGCACAGTCCACAATTTTGCATACATTTTGAGGTTTGCAAGACACTTTTTTCCCCTCCATTAGTACATTAAATGATCTTGGAGAGTTTTGGACAGGGCTGTAACCAGGGTTGGGGGAGCAGGACAGCCTCCCTGGGTGCAAAGCTGGGATGGGAGGAAGAGGAGGGTGTGAAAAAATGGGGTGGAAAAATGATAGGGCGGGGGGGAACAGTAGGGAGTTCAGCCCTACACAGTATTGCCCCCTTACCTCTGCGCTGCTGCTGGTGGCGGTGTTTGCCTTCAGAGCTGGGTACCTGGAGAATGGCAGCTGCTGGTCAGGCACCGAGCTCTGAAGGCAGTACCACCGCCAGCAGCAGTGCAGAAGTAAAGGGGGTAATACCATGCCTGCTGCAGGGTTCTACCCCCTACTGTTTTTGTTTTGGGTTTTTTTTTTTTTTTTTTTTTTTTTTTTCTGCCCCACGCTTCCTGGTTCTGTGCCCTGGATGGCTCCCCGGCGCTGGTTGCAGCCCTGTAGTTGCACCAGATTATCTGGTTATCTTTTTTTTTTTTTTTTCCTGTCATTACATTTGTTTTTTTTTTTTTTTTTTTTTTTTTTTTTTCCAGGCATAACATAATAGTTGAATGTTTATTGTTCCGGCATTTTTTTTCTTAAACAAATAAGTCAACTGTGGCTCTTTCCAAATTACAGATATTAATATAGGTCCATTATTACTTTTCTATGATTCTCCTCCTGCTCTCTCTTCTCTCCCCCCTCCCCCCAACCATGTCTTATCCACAATTCAGATGTGGGAAGATCATCCTGCAATTCAGATAGGGTCTTAATTATTTAAAATAAATTGCCAAAACAAGTTCAGTTGTTTTAATAGATGCTCTAGAACTTAAGTCTACACAATACAGGCTTAAACTTGTATACAAACTAGATATGGGATCACACTTCATCTGCTAGTGAAGTGTAGCCATCTTAAGTGGGCAATGCAGCAGCTGTTTAACAGCTCTAAGAACAACAGACAGGCCTGTCACCGGAGCTGATCCAGAGAACAGAATGGTGTGCTGTCAGGAGCTAAGTTATGGGATGTGGACCTGAGTCTGAAGAGAATCCTAATGGGTCCTTCATGAGGGAACAAATGATACTACTAGATTCTCTCTGGAATGCGTAAAGGGAGGCAATACCAGGTTGGGAAAGACTCTCTTGAAATGGAGTCTCCGGTGATCTTCAGTGGGATTCTACCTTTCCTTAGAGGAAGAGAGCAAAGGTGAGACAAGATTATGATGATCAACAGATGGCTCAGGCAATGGTGCTATAAGGAGGGTTTTGGAGTGTTTGACCACTGGGAAGTATTCATGGACAGAGGACTGTTCTCATGGGACAGACTCCACCTGAGTAGGGAGGGAAATAGACTTCTGGGTTGGAGCTTGGCACAACTGATTGATTAAAAGAGCTTTAAACTAGGAACTCAGAGGAGATGGTTGTGAGGAAAATCAAGAAAGAGAATACAGCAATAGAGAAAGGAACAGCAGTGGGTAAAAGAATGAACATTAAGAGGAAAGACAGTGCTCATATCAATGAAGCTAACAGGTAGGTGATACTGGCAGTAGAATGGCTGTACCCAATCAGGTGAGGAATCCAGGCTAAGCCAAGCAGAAACAACTCAAATGTTTGTATACCAATGCAAGGAGCCTGGGTAACAAAATGAAGGAACTAGAACTATTCATGCAGGAAGTGAAACCAGGTATTATAGGAATAACAGAAACATGGTGGAATTGTAGTCATGACTGGAGTACAGGTAATGAAGGGTATGTGCTGTTCAAGAAAGACAAATGTAAAGGCGGTGGAGTAGTATATTAATGACAAGGTAGACTGTAACGAAATTAGAAGTGATGGAATGGATAAGACAGTCTGTTTTGGGTCAAAATCACTTTGGGGAAGAAAGTTACCAGAGGTTCCCCAGGGCTAGTGCTTGGGGTATGCTACAGACCCCCAGGATCCAACTTGGATATGGAGACCTCTTTAATGTTTGTAATGAAATAAATAATACTGAGAATTATCTGGGGAAGTTAAAGTCTCCCATAATCTCACACACATTGGAGGACAAGTGCTACTATTAATAGGGCCCACATTTTCCTGGGTGTGATAGTTGACAGATTTCTTCACCAAATAATCACTGCACCAACAAGAGGTGATGCCATTTTAGATTTGGTATTGGTGAGTAGTAAGGACCTCATAGAAGAGCTAGTTGTAGGGGATAAC